CCCACCATCTTTCCTAAAATATGGACAAAACAGTAGGCTCTATCACAACAGCACAGAGCATGGTGGCTGCAGGATAATACTGTCAGCGAGGTTAAGGAAACGGAGCAAGTGATGGGGCCCCTCCCACAAAGGGGACTTTTAAGGTCACCACCACACAGCACACATGAGGCTTAACATGGCAACAGCAGGTAGTAGGGATCGGAAGGGAAAGAAGTGCAAGTAAGAGCTCCACGAGCACTCCTGGATGAGCCAGGACTCCCTACAAAGCATTTCCATTTGGCTTCTGACACATGAAAGCATGGCCCCTTTCAGTTATGATGTTTCTTCTTTCAACCTCCTATTCAGGATAGAAGTTGAACTACACACTCATATGTCCTCTCCTGTAACACCAAAACCTACTTCCATCTAACCAGGACCTGCAAAAACCCCACTCTCAGGAAATCTCCCGTGGTTTCTCTTCTCCCTTAAAAGCACATCAGAAAACTCCTATTTCTGTGTGACTGTTCTTTTCTTACTGGAATCCTCATTGTCCACAGCAATGGTCAGCCATGACCCTGGTATATGTCCCCGGGTCAGCCATGGACCAATTTCTTTGTTACCCTTTGTCTCTCTAACTACAACTTGAAGGTGGAATTCCCTGCACATCTCCATCTTACATACAAACAAACGCTACATATGCATGGCAGTACTATGGCAAAACCAAATGGCTGCATGCATGCAGTCTGCCCACTGCCAAATCTATAGTCCACAGTCAGCTTAACACCACCCCACCCTCAGCCAAATTCTGAGCAGCCCATATGGCGCTACTTACAAATTTCCAGACTAACCTCTTTCAACCTGTAACTCTGCTCTCTACTGTCTTCTACTACTTACCAGTTACTTCCCAATTAAGTGCAAATCCCTAACTATCTGCTTTTCCTGTTTCATTGTGCCTCCTTTCCAACGAAGTTTGGTCTGTCTTAGTCACACTTCATCATCACATCAGAGGGATCTCTAAATGCCAAGATACACATTTCTATCCTTGAATCTCAGGAAGCCTACCGGTAAACACACTCTTCAATTAACACTGAATCATTCCAACTCATCAATGTGCACTCAGATTCTCTCCATTTGTGCAAACCTGTAACATTGCAATTTTAGCAACTTGGATACTTCCTTACAAATATCCAAGCTAACATGTTGTTCACAAATCTCTGTCCCACCTACCATTACTGGATGAGGAATTATATGGACCCAACCTTTATACACATAACCCAAGGCCTAGGGCAAGGCTATGTATACCCTGTAATTGTTCAATAAATATTGGTTAGCTGACTGGCTTCAGATTAGAACAAAGGCTAAACAATGATAAGTCATCTGTTACTGAGGAAAGGAAAAGAACATTGGGCTATGTTCTTCAAAACTTTCTATTTTACTAGTTTAGCCTGGGTTATTTTTAAAAAGACCAAGTATCCCCATATAGCAGGACACTATCAACAGGAAGATAATTATATATCCAATATCTCCAAGAAGTAAGCAATGTTTCCATTAGGACAGTGGTTTCCAAACTTTCCTAAAACATATTAGGATCACCTGGGGACTTATTTTAAAAAAAAAAAAAAAAAAAAAACACCCTTCCTAGTTCACACTCTCTAGCATTTAAGTCAAGGCTGAGTATGACAGTCCAGCATCAGTATTTTTAAAGGTCCTGGGTGATTAATGTGAGCAGTTTGGGAAGATTCATTTCATGACGTCCTTTGGCTCAGTACACACACCACAATTTCCTTTGGCTCAGTACACACACTACAATTTCCTATTGGTACAGGTGATACTGACTATATTCCCAACACTTGCTTAATGGATGAAGGATCATAGGATTTGGCTCCTACATACGCTGCCACTTCATGATCAAACAGCTCCACATAAATGAATGATCTGATCCTGATACAGTAGTAACACTGAATTTTTCCCATCTCAAAATTAGAATAACCACTCAATATTCACACCCATGTGATTATTGTACGTTATACATCTTGATAGGTTAGCATTTCACTACACTAAAAAGTGTTATTTTTCTTACGGTACTAAGAACTACAGTAAATTTTAGACATTTGCCTGAAGACTTGCAACTATTTTAATGACAGCATGAGTACGGTGGATAATATTTTAAATATCAAGAGCTACTTTTTTAAAGGCATGTCAAGAAAAAGGTAAGCAAAGAGATTAACTTTACTGCTTTAATCAAAACATAAAATGGTAGTTCTCAGACAAAAAGTCATTTAAAACACTAGGAGCGGTGTTTTAAATAACTCTTCAATAACATCTTATTAAACGCTGCTGGCCATTTGGCACGTGGTCGAAGGAGGGGCTCAGCTACTCATCCACCTGGGCAACCATGACTTCCGAGGTTCGCAGTGGGTTGTGCTTTGTAGGTCTTTTGAGGTTGAGTGGATCCAGGAGGCTGTTTATGACCAATTGGGGGCAAGCTCACTTCCATGTCAAAGCATTCACTCGCTGATCTGAAGTCCTCTAGAAGGCAACCACGAACTCTGAAGTGGGCTGCTCCAGAAGCCCAGGTGTCTGAGTGATGAGCCAAGTCCCTACTAACACCTGAAGAGCGAAACATTACGTCTCATGCTTTAAACCATGGAGATCTGCAGGTTCTTATTACAAGAACACACACTAGCTTTATCCTGACAGAAAATGTAAGACAATACCATCTCTGGCATAACAAAAGAGCAACAACAAACAGAGCTGCTGTGGGGAAAATCATTAATAGTAATATATCCTGAAAGAATTTCCAAATTTAAGGCAAAAACTTCAGACTCTACAATGCTCCTCATCATTTTAATAATATGATCTACTGACTCTTACACTGCTTTTAGTCTATTACTTCTCTGAAACAAAAGGTTTCGATAAGACCGACCTTTGGGAATGAAAGACTTGTGAAGGAAATCATGACTTCTTTCCTCCTTTTCGCATCAAAAACTCTATCACAGAATGCATACCCTGAAAACAAACTATAATAACACACATGCAGATTCCAATATACTCAACTGAATGGATACAACACTCCATAAAACTATACATCCCAATTGGAAAGCCTGCAGAAAGATCTCTATCTGTTCAGACAAATAAAGTATGTAAGAAATATACCTCTGAGGAAATAATTTATTGAGATTAAGCCTGTAAATGATACAGTTAAAGATCTAAGGACATCAGGGGGAAAAAGAAACATGAGCGCTAAGAAAGAAATATTAAAATTACAGTAATTTTTCAAATTTCTGAAGCCCTAAGAAAATGAACCAATTTGTCCGTTCAACTTCAGCATAGGGTGAAATGAATGAAAACTGCTGCCAGTCTGATTCACTGCTGGAATAATGCGAAAGAGAGGCTTTCTGTGGCTTGAGTTGTTATTGATGGGTGAACCTCCAAATGACAAAACAGTAAATATTCATCTATTATCAAGCACTCTACTTTTACAAGTTGCTGTCTGGCTTTCTAATGAAGACCTTATACTGAAGGAAAATGTGAACATAACACTTCATCCCACACCAAGTCATCCAAAATAGGACGAGAATATACATGAGTTAATTAAATATTCAATTTACCCCCATGTCACTGGGTCTCTAAACAAAGGAAACTACTACTCCCACAAACAGCTTCTTTTGCAATGTTCACTATCTGGTTTCTCCAAAATTTGCTGAAAGGGCTCAAAGTACAACAGCCCTATTTTGTTCTCAGGAACAAAGAAAAGCTCCTTAGACCTTTGGTCAGTAAAAGGAATAACTTTAAGTTTAAAATAAAAATGACCTAAATATTTATCAGCATGTGAACAGGTAAACATCATGATATAACTATATAATGAAATATTTACATACATATAATGGGATATTACCTAGCAATTAAAACAAATGATCTAAGATTTCACCAAGGAGAGGAATCCCAAAACCAAAGTCAAGACAATAAAACTATATGATTCTATTAAAATGAAATGTTGTAATTTGTTTAGGCAAAACTTTGGTGACAAAAAAGCAGCTCACATATCAAAGTGGGAGTGGGAAGTGACTGCAGAGAAGGGAATTTGGGGGGAAGAGGAATCATAAATCCTCTATGACTGTAGTAGTAGTTACACAACTATATAGTTGTCAAAATTCAATTATTTGTAGAATTAAAATTAACTGTGTACATATTACACTTCAATTAAGGTGTGGAGTTTTGTTCCATTCTTTCACGGTGCTGGGGACAAGAACCCTTCCCCTAACCGACACACACAGTGTGAAAGAAGAGTTTAGCAGGCTCCCAACAAGACAAAGGAGAAGGGCGAACATCTTCAAGGCGCTTGAACCAAAAGCCGTTAAGATCATCTGTACAACACCGATGATTCTTCCCATCATTTTTAGGAGCTGTGCCCCCTGGAATTCATACACTGAAGCCCAAACTCCCAGGACTCTCGAGATATTTTGAGATATGGCTTTTGAAGAGGTGACTGCATGAAAATGAGGACATTAGACCCTAATCCAGTATGACTCAAGTTCTTTGAAGAGGGAGTTTAAATACGTACAACAGGAACATGCACACACGCAGAAAAAGCCACTTGTGCACACAGCACAAGGTGCCGATCAGCGCTCCAAGAAGAGGGGCCTCAGAAGAAACCAAATCTGCTGACCCTCTGATCTGGGACTTACAGGCAGCAGAAGTAGGATAAAGGGCTAAGACCCCCCACCTAGCCTGCAGTGTTTGTTATGGCAGATGCAGAAGCAAATGCAATTCTCATCTCAATACTGCCTATATGGTTTAACGAAAAGAAGAATGACTCAGTTTCCCCCACATACCCATAAGGAAAAGGACAATCCCACAACAGTATCGTATGAGTAAACTGACTCTCACGCCCAGAATGAACACTTTGCATTAACACCTTTCATGCTACAATGCTTAACCACGCAATGAGTATTTTAAGTAAACTTTTAGATTTTACGTAATTATATCCTTTCATGAATAAAATTATTTAATCACATTACCTCGTGTTTCAACCGCACTGATGCATTTTCTCAGAATGGTGAATCCCACTGCATCCAACTGTGCACCTAAAAGAAATAGTTACAAAATATTAAGGGCACAAATGCCAAACATATCTGCCTTCCTTACAAAGACAGGAAAACTAGTATATTGAATCTAATTTGTACTTCACTACTTTAAAAAAAAAACACCTAAAGGCCATGTATTTCCTGTGCAAATGATGGAAACATGGACTTCACACGCCTAAACCATTACTTGCTGAATCAGGACAATGCACAAGTAGAGTTGTCATTATTTAAAGTAATTTAACTGATGCAGCTTCTTTTAAACAGTTGAAAAGAAACTAACATACATCTCTAAGAGAAGCTTCCCCTGAGCAAGATGTGTCTTGCCAAAAATTCTAATAGTAGTTCAATTAATGAAAACTACATATATGAATGAAGGCTCTTAAATTACATGAGTGTCTAAGAATATAAACTTTTAACACAGTTGAGAAATTTTTTAGAAAAGCTGTAAAAAAAACATTTGGGCAATAAGATTTAATTAAAATTTTGATATTTTACACCATGATCCAAGCTTTTAAAATAATATTTATTTTCACAGTAGATGAAAAACAGATGATTCATGTGGCAGAGCCGATCGTTTTGAAAATATAATTTTATATTTCTCCTAATCTCGATGCTTGCCTATGAATAGGCTGACATATTTGTTCGTATTTTAATGAAAGCCAAAGCCTGCTTCAATTAAATTAGGAAAAGCAGAGCCCTGAGTCACCACACTCAGAATCCCGGGAAGTTAACACTAAATCTTCGGTTTTCACTGGGGGTGCAGAACAATACCTGAGTATGAACTGTACATGCAATCCATCATGCTAAGCTTGAGGAGAGTTTCAATGGGTCAATTAGGTGGTGGCTCAGTCTGCAAGAATTCACCCTTCACAAAGTTTTATAAAACACAAATGCTTCTCTCTGCTTAGCAAAACTATCCCCACCACCTCCCCAAAAAAGCATGTTTCAACTTTTCTGTAACAAAAAAATAAACAGCAAGAAGCACAGAACCTGGAAGAGTAGGGAAAAGACAAAGGAAAGAAAGGGCAAAGGAAGAAGAGGAGGAAAGCAGAAGAGATGAAGGGAGAGGGGAAAGGGATGAGCAGGTGCTCAGTGATGTGCTGCCCGAGGCACCTGACCCACAGCCAGGCAAGGGGAGACACCTTCCACTCAGCATGGGCACACTGATCACCATTATTTTGAGTTCATACATTACATAATGTAGTCTTTCCAAACTGTGACTATCTGATTATGTAACATGAAGTTCTCTGAATATATCAAAAATAAAGTCCAGCAAACTGTTCACATTTTTATCTCAGTGTTACTCAAGAGTACAGAGCCACAGAGCACTTCATTTTCCTCTAAGTATACACAGTGCACACGAAGGTCCTTGTCCTCGAATACGTGCACATTATTTCTTAATTTGTTGCTGCTATTTTCTGAAGTGTCCTTGCAGTATACTATTTGTAAAAACCCTTACCCAGATAGGGCAAAGAGAATGGGTACCAGGGTCTGAATGGAACACAAAAGCTGCCAAAAATCAAAAGCGAGTCACTTTTATCAACCAAAGTGAGAAAAGTAAATACAGCTAGGAGGCTGTGAAAGAAAGATTTGTCCACATGACTGCCTGAGAGTAACTATCACAAAAGACTTTTGTCAAAACCACAAACTTCCCACTAGACCACTGCAACCTTCTACCAAAACTACACAAAATTAAAAGTACTTCTACGAGGACCCCTGCCAACAACTCACTGCTCCATCTCAGGCTGGAGCCACTCATTAATCACTATAGACAAAGAATCTTGTTTCAAAACACCTGATGTAATTCTCATTTCTTCCTTTGAAGTTTGCTTTGCCTCGACATCTTTAAATATGCCTGTAGTTTACTGTGGCATGCATATCAGCATTGCTATGCTCTGCTACGCCCAAGTTAAGGACTGTTGTTCTTTGGAGAATCTGATTTTTTCTTGACAAAGAATAGGGTAAGAAAGTTGGGAACAGGATTTTGCAACTCAATCAGGAATTGCAAGGTCACACCCCAAAGTTTTACATGATTTATGGCTGAAAGAATAAACAGCAAAGTGAACTGCACAGAGAAATCACATAGAAGAGCTCACAGATAAGAAAGATTAAAGGAGGCTGTAGCAGCCCAGATATTTTGAAAACGTCTCCAGTGGATGAGACAGAATACACACGACAGTTAGAGGATGAACTCAAATAGGGTACAGGAGTGTGCCCTGAGCGACCCTGGTGTCCATAATGATCACAAAGTAGCACATGAAAAAAGAAACCAAACTATCATTCTTAAAAATTCGCACTTACTTCCTTCTGGCCTTGGGATGATGGCTTTATTAAAACTATGGAACAGCTAGTGAGAAAAAAAATAAGAGAAAGAAATACGGTATTTTTAACAAAGCAATAAAAATGATTGAAATAGGTCCACATAGAGCCATGCAAAACAGTTTCTAGAAACTTCACACTGGTTAATATGGTATAATAAGAAATATATTTTGCCCCCATTTTGTGGTACAAAGTTCCATAACTCTTGAGATGGCCCAATAGAAGCATCTTTTGTTACTCACAAGGAACCTCCTGGGTTTATGTTAATGAGGTAACTAGGGATTGGGACAGGGACAGAGCCTCCAGATGGGGCTGGACACTCGGACATGCTGACCTTCACTGGGGGCCTGCAGGCTAACACCATAAAACTCCTAGTAAGTGACTACAAAGAGCTACTCTGGGAGGGTGGTGCCCCCTAGCGGGTGGGAGAGCTCTGTGATCCATTCTAGCAAATCAGTGAGCCCAAGGAGGGGTCATGGGACTCCTTCAGCACAGCCTGTCAAGGGGAGACTGCAGAGACCCAGAACTGTGAAGGGATCATAAAAACTTGGGGGATTCTTCTAACTCCGGGCCGAAGGGTCAGAACTGAGTTGAATTGTAAGACACAGAGTTGGGGTCAACAGATGAGGGCAGGAAAAAGCCCAATCTGGTGTCCTCAGTGAGCTCCTACAAAAAGCCTTCCCAGTTTACTACACATCACCATGCTTTCACATGCAAAGGAAAATAACAAAGAAAACCTCTGAGTCAACTTCTCTCTCACAGAGGTATGCCAAAGAAGCCAATATGATGAAGGGATTATGGTCCTTAAGGAATTTACTGGAATGTGTTGAAATCTGAAATGCTTGGCCTTACACAGTTATCGGGTGACAAACTGTTGTTGGCTACTCAATAAAATGAGCCTCATTTGTTCACTATTATCCTTATAATCTGGTATTTACTGAAAAAGACACCTCTGCCCATCATTTAAATAAGTATGTCTGAAATATCAAGGTGCTGATTCTGAGCAGCCTCTAAAAATCTGGCGGCTCTTTATTTATAAGGCATATAGCACCTACCAAAAATATGCCCTCGCTCACGGTTCCCCACATAAAAGGCAGCTCCTCACCCCAGTGTCCTATGCTTCATTAAAGTGCTTGCAGTGAGCGGGAACTAACGCTGTCTCTAGCACATCTGGTGAGCTCTGTGCTAAAATCTCTCACTGTTACCACAGGAAACCCCTATCCTACATTCCCCAGGCACGCTTTCCTTTTGTTCTAAACCCTTCAGAAATGGCAAATGCTTTTAAACCTACCTGATACCTGCTCTGAAAGCTTCCTGGGAGTCACAGTACTAGATGCACTTTATTTTAATTACTTCTGTGGTCTTTTCAATAATTTTCCTCACTAAATCCCTGATTCATTAGGTGATCTGCAAAATTCTCAAATCCCAAAAGCCACCGCTCCATAGAAACGAGAACAGTGCTTGAACAAAGTGGCAAAAGACTGAATTCAGGTGCCTCCCGACCTGTATCTCTACCTTTTATTTATTCCTCAAAGCAACACAAAAGCCGCACAAAAACACATGGAGACCTGTCTGTCATCCTAGTACTAAGAGGCTGAGACAAGAGGACTGCCAATTCAGGCCCCGCCTGGGCAACTTGGCAAGACTCGGTCCCCATGCAGAAAATATAAAAAGGGGCTAGGAATGTAACTTAGTGCAAAGCCTCTAGATTCAAGAAAATGAGAAATAAAAAACTAGTGATACACCAGTCAGGTGTGTGCTGCTGCTACCCCAAGCCAAATTACTAAACTGCTGAATACAGAATTTCCAAGATGAGTTCAAACACCAATTGCAGCAGGGAACTTGTGTCAAATACTATAAACCAAAAATAACCCAGAAATGTACACAAGGCAGCTCTGCAGGATCTGAAGTAGGGCTCCGCGACCGATGATGCTTACAGCCTCTCTTCCACCCAGAGCTTCTAGCCACTGCCTCCGCTCCTCCTCCGAGAACGCTTGCATGGTCAGGGACACGCCAGGCCTGGAAGACACAGCACATGCACAGCAGGTCAGCAAATCACTGCGGCAAAGCTTCCGTTTCCCCTTGCAATTGTTTTCCCGATGATTACACTTTCTCTTTTTTAAATGTTTAACTATGGTAAAATACACATAACTTACAACGTACTATCTTCACCCTGTGTGCGTGCACGATACAGTGGTATTAAACAATTCGCACTGATGTGCAGCCACCCCACCACCCCACCTCTACACAGCAACTTCTTGCATCCCACCGACTTGGCCCCTGGGGATCACTGCCGTACCTTCTTCCCTCCTTAACTGGGCAAAGGAAACAGATCATAATAGCATTTGCTTTTGTGACTGGCTTATTTCACTGAGCATGATTTGAAATTTATCCATGATGGGGCATGAATCAGAACTTTCTTCCTTTTGAAGCTTGATAATATTCTACTGTATACATATAGATCATATTTTATGCATCCATTCACACATTTATGACACTCTGGTTGCTTTTACATCTTGGCTACTGAGAACAATGCTGTTACGAACATGGATGTAAAGATATCTACTCAACTCCCTGCTTTCAATTCTGTTGAGCATATGCCCAGCAGTGGAATTTCTGGACCATTACGATGCATCTATATGGATACACAGAGCCAAATGAACAGAAGAAAAGATGTTCCCTATCATATAGCATCAGGAAAGTACAAATTAAAACAAGATACTAAAACATACCTAAGAGAACGGCCAAAATCCAAACACTGAAAATGCTAAATGCTGGTGTGGAATCAGGAATTCTTATTCACTGATGGTGGGAATGCAAACTGGTACAGCCACTTTGAAAGACAGCTTGGTGATTTCTCACAAAAGCAGAAGTACCATGTCACCCAGTACCAATGTTTGCTGGTACAATATTTATCCAAGGTTGTTGAAAAACTCATGTTCACACAAAAACCTGTACATGAATGTTTTGAGCAGCTTTTTCATAACTGTAAAATCTGGAAGTTACCAAGATGTCTTTCAATAGATAAATGGATCAATAAATTCTGGTATATCCAAGGAACATCATTCAGGGCCAAAAAGAAGAGATATGTAGGACATAAAGGGACCCTAAAGGTGCAATACTCACTGAAAAAAGCCAGTCTGAAATGGCCATATGATGTGTGATTTCAAATCTATAGCAATTCTCGAAAACTCAAAACTACAGAGACACAAAAAAAATCAGTGTTTGCCAGGGATCAGATGGGAAAAGATGAACAGGCAGTGAAAATACTCTGCATATTATGATGGAAACATGTCATTAATACATTTGTCCAAACCTACAGAACATACAACTCTAAAGACCATAATATAAAGCATGGACTTTGGAGAATCGTGATCCGTTCCTGTAAGTTCATCAATTAAACCTGCAATGGACCCCCCAGGACAGTGATATAAGAGCTATGCATGTGTCAGAGCAGGGTGCCTATAGGAAATCTCTGTACTTTCCTCTTAATTTTGATATAAATCTAAAACTGCTCTGTTTAAAAATTAAATTTCAAACACTTTATTTTAAATGCAGAGTCATTACCTAAAGAACACACACTGGAGGCACGGAGATCTGTCTCCCCACTACTCTCCCTCTTTCTCCCTCTCTCTCTTTTTCCCCTACCCACTCCTTCCTTTGGCTGCTGGGTGGAGAACAGACTAAAGCCAAGAGTGACTGCAAAGAGAAGAGCAGAGAAAGGAAATGACGACATTGAGGAGGAAAAGAAACGTGCTTCAGAAATACGCCGTAAGTGCCACTACATGTTGTGAGCCACAGAATAATTAGAAATCTGTAGCTCCAGTACAAATTATAATAAGACCAATCAATTACAATTAGCATAAATAACCAGTAAAGGGATTCAATGGAATTCCAAAACAGTATAGCAAATATGGACCTAACAAAGTGAAACTCACAAGTCCAGGTCAAAAAGAAAGCCCTTGCTCTAATCCCCCTGTGCTAGCCCCACTGATGCTTTACGTAGACACTGGATATTCTAAATCAAGCTGCACATGGAGCAGAAAACAAAGATGAAGAACGACTGATTCTGGTCACTTGGAACATAAGAAATGAATGATAAAGAATTTAAGGAACTATGAACTAGAATTATGGATACCATGATGGAAGAAAGCATTTCCCAGAGTTCCAATTAAGCAAAAATATGAAAAGAATGAAAGTCCAACGTGGCACAAAACTTCTGTTACTCTAGTTGTTGTCTATAAGCATAGTGACTTAAAACCGACTACCTCGCCCCGGTGGAACACAGGAAGCCGTTCACCCCTTCACCAACGCCTACCCCTAAAACACAAGTGTGGGGAAGACAAACATCACACGCTCAAAACATGTCTGAACCATCCTAAATCTCCCGAGTTTCTTTTTTAAATAATCAACTGCTAAGAAATCATTAAGCACAAATAAGACATTAAGAAATACTGGGAACATTTCAATGTGATGTTTACAGGCTAGCATCTCAAGTACTTCAGTTTCTCTTTTAGTTTTGGGGACTTATGCAACTGAATATCCCTAATCTGAAAACATAAAATTAAATCCACTACAAGGGGGTCAAGGGTGTACCTCAGTGGCAGGGCAGGTGCTTTGTATCCAGGAGCCATGGGTTCAAAAAAACGTACTAAAAAATGGTCAAGAAATGCAACAAATATCTAAACCTTTCTAAGCACCAACAAGCTACATTGAGCATTTCAGGTTCCTGATTACTTTACATGACAGATGCTCCATCTAAACAGCATCTCTCTGGTAAACTAAATTACAAAATTTCCATAGTTCTCCTAACAAGAAAAGACACATGGATGCATTGGGTATAGAAGACTAATATAAGGCAAACACAAGGATAACAGAAAACATTTTAAACGGTGTCAGCTTAGTCGCCTTTAATGAAGAGCAGCCGCTGCACCTTCACTCCATGCAGAAGCTAAGTGAGCAACATCCCCGACGCCGTCAGAGCCCCAACTGGAACCAGAAGGCTCAACTGGGGCTCCCGGAGCGAACACTGCTGCTATGCGCCACACTAGCAGAGCTGAGAACACTGCCATTCACTGAATCTAACCTTTCACTTCAAATGAACCAAAACCCCAGTGCCTACGAGGTGCCAGGAGCAGCATTAACCTCTGAAGAATCTGTCACACACAGTGAGCCAAACTGACTCAACTAATAGGAAGGCAATGACAGAAACTTCACGAAGGGGTAGGTGAACCAGGTAAGAGGCCAAGCTGCCAACTAGTATTTCTTTATTTAAAAACATAATTAATACGTGTAGAGGATAAGGCTGGAGCTGAAACTGGCAGGAGAAAACACGGTAAACAAGTTGTTCCTAAAGGAGCACGTCAACCTCTTCCTTTAAAAGTAAAAACATGGTATACAGTTCAGACAGCAGACTGGGCTCAGCCTCAGAGACAGACAAGGAGCTGCCATCTTTAGTCTACATTTTATTCCCATCTACTATCTTTAAATCGCATCAAAACAAATTTTACTTGATAGGCCACTGAGCTTTTAAATTCAGAAAACAGCCAAAAGGGTAAAAAGAAAGACATTCACAAGTACAACGAGACATTATTTAAGTGGAGGAGTTACTAAATAAAAAAAGATTAGCAGCAGCTACCAAACTTATGATGGTAGCAGGAATGTGCCACCACTTTTCTAAAAGAAATGTTGAAAGGGGACAGGAAAAAACCAAATCTACGTGTTACAATTACACACCAAATTTTAAGGGAAGAGGAAAGTGCCAAAGCTAAACAAAAGACTTTTAAAGGTCACCAAAATATTAACAGTTGTCATCAATTTCCCATAGGAGATTCGGGAGAAAAAAAGTACAGACCTATGAATTATATATTTTTCAGAGATTTTACATGTATGTTGCCTAATTTTACTCTAGGTAACAACTTTATGGCAAATTTTTCTGTCCACCAAAGAGATACTGCAAATTGAGCAAACAGCGAGAATACAGTAGAAGCAGGACTGTGTATTCCAATAAAAGTAAATTCAAACAACTCATCATTGGCTGACTTGATGCTCTACTTGCAATGGAGGAAACTATGACAGATCATCATTCATACCCTAACAACAATGAGGAGAACCTTTGAAAATACAGTTTTACTGTTTTTAACAACCCTAATGAACCCAAATCCAGAAAATGACAAGCCAATACACCTGAGACAATGCATCAGAGTGAAAGCACATTCGTGGGTCTGTGCACGCAGCTGTCTTCATCCTTACTGAAACACAGGGCAAAGAGAAAGACACTGGCAACACAGAACACAGCAGAATATTAACTGCATCTTAAAAATAGCACCCAGTGTGGCGCAACAGTATGGAATTCCCAGCAAGTGCAGACACAGAATCTGAACCTGCAACTCTCTTTCCCACCAAGCTTCCCCAGTCTTTATTTGAAGTCCAAGCAGAATGGAAAGAACTGACCGTTTCCTCCAATCACATGACACCTATGATAAACTGAACCAAAATGAAGCAGCAACAAGGCCCAATCTCAGCTCACTACAAACTCAGCCCTCCACCTGAGCCCAAGGGAAGAGTGGGCATAACGTTAGCCAGGCAGCAATATTACTTATTTTAGGGTCTGATGTTCTCATAGACATAGTATCTGGAAGTCAGTCAAAAACATTATGAAACATGGCAAGAGGCAATAACATAATCTAGAATCAAGAAAAGAAGCAGTAAATAAAAGCAGACAAAGAAAGAGCCAGGATGTGATGGGACCAAAGCAAATATAAATATGTAAATATATGTATCAAATTATAATCTGATAAACAGATCATGTAATCTAACAAAAAAATACCAAAACAGAAATATTAAATGTAGAATATCAATAAGCATTTGAGATATTAACAAGACACTTGTAAATAGCACATGAACATCTATATCATAAACATACAGGAAATTTAATTTGGGACTGAATCCTGTTTAAATACCAAACTTTATGGGTACAAAGAAAAGTAGCTCTTAGAAAGAAATTCATGGCTTTAAAT